GGCTTTAATAGTGGTACTAGTACAACTATGACTCATCCTGATAAACGGCTGGTATAAGCCTGGCTTTAATAATGGTACTAGTGCAACTATGACTCATCCTGATAAACGGCTGGTATAAGCCTGGCTTTAATAGTGGTACTAGCACAAACACGCTAATAATTCGAAATAAATTTTCTTTTCAGCTCCAATCGAGCAAAAGCTAGGCACATTTAGGGAATAATTCACTTCTTAACGGCTGCTAGCTAAAATTTGTCGTATAAAACAATACTAAGCTTCGGTATTAAAGAAAGACATCTTAGTTACTGTCTGACTTAGTAACCGCACTGGTTAAACACGGAGAATACGGTGACCTCTTGTTTACAACAGACATTTTCAGAGACTTGAGAACCTCATAAAGATGTAGATATAGGTATCATCCACGGTATTATTGCCACGACACTGATGCTACACTTCGATCAAGTTTTGGTCAATCTCAAAAGTTAAGGTCACCAGAAATCAAGGTTATCCACAGATATTGACCAAAAGGCAGTGATGGTTTCGGTAACGTTGATGACTTGGTTGTTAAACCTAGTCGTGATCAACTAAGTGTATAATGAGCAATAAGAACAAATAACTTCAAGGGCCGAGCGCCGCCTAGTGGTAAACGTGCCAGTCTATATAGCTGAGGTTCGCGTCCAGTTAACGCAAGGGGGGGGGGAAGCTCTACAAGGAGAAGCTTTTGGTGAATTGTAAGAATGATTATGAAATCCGATAGGAGGTGTAGACTACCTGCTTTCCCTCTTGTCCGAAATCAATCCAACAAACAAACGCGAGACTCTCCAAATAAGGAGGTGGGAGGGTGAATATCATCGCAAAACTTTCAGTACTCCACAATATTTACAATTATCTTATTTTAAAGCTGACATTTTGAATTTTGAAAGAAAAATAACAATGCTAAAAAAAGTGTTGAATAAGTAGATTAAAATTAATTCGAGTTTTAAAATATAAAGTTTGTTTAAAAAAATACTTTTTATACTTACTTTATCTAGTTTGAATTAATTAATTGTTAAAAATTTTTTTAGGCTTCAGAAAGGTTATGTAACTGCTATGGAAACCAATTATACAGGTTTGGTTTACAATTAAACTTATTATTACTTGGTGTGTACGTACAGTTTCTAGTTTATAGCGCACTAATTACACAAGTGGCCTGAAATCAAAACGGCAGATTCGATGTGTGACACGTGAAGTCTATTACGTTGTACAATAGACAAAAACCGGTCTTCATAAGTACTCTAGACAACCTGTCGGAAGGAAACGGAACTAGAAGTATAAGATGAAATACAATTACTCGTGTACGGAAGTACGTTGTTCTACTATAATAGTAAATGGACAAATAACGATTTAATAGCATAATAAAAATGATTTTATGTAGAGAACGTACTACATATTTCAACATAACGTTGGTGTCTGTCGTCTTTAGGTGTTACTGGAGAAAACAGATCGCTGTTCCGGTGGGACATCGGTAAGTTTACGGACTTACAACGCTAAGATCCGGGGTTCGATTCCCCCACATCATACAGCCCAATGTGGCTTTTCTCAAAAGTAAATAAACTGTTCTGTTGAAACAAAATAATTTGCATTGTGCTTATAAATATTGATGATCGATCCTTGAAAGTGTTTGTTTTTAATTATGCACAAAGCTACATAAGGTCCTTGCAAGTGTTAGTTTGATTTTAATTATGCACAAAGCTACACAAGGGCTATCTGTGCTCTGCCCGCCACGGGTATCGAAACCCGGTTTCTAGCGTTGTAAGTCCGCAGACTTACAAGGGGGGGGGGCTCGTAAGTGAATGTAGTGTGATGTCAGTCTTTCCACGTGGTTATCGAGATAGCCGGCCAATCACTTGGACGCAAATATAGTTTGAGACATCTGTTTTTCCACGTGACTGTTGGGATAGCAGCTGTCATCCCAAGAGGATGACGGGTCGTTCACCCCGCACGGCCCAACACACTGTAACTGTAAGAAGACAGCGACAGTCAAGATTGGCAACGACTACAGAGGGAAGGAAGATCCAGCTTCCTGACTCGAACCATCGCCATAAGAAAAGTAAAGACTGTATAAAAACACTTAAGCCTCACGTTAAACGTCTTACATTGGACCTGCTGTGAACTTAAGCTTGTTCGATGCATCACTTAATTTATGATGTTTAGCAGAGAATTTTCGTGTGTCTTAAGAAGCTTAACATAAAATTCTTAATAGTTATAGGAGTGTATGTATATACAGGCGAGTGTGTCGGACATTTTTTTCTGGAGCATAACATACCGATTCGTAAGATCTGTATTGCACGGGAAAATGCCCCCCAATGGCACAGCGGTATGTCTGCGGACTTACAACGCTAGAATCCGGGTTTC